TCATGACGAAGGGAGTGCAGGTCGAAGCCTTCAGAAGACTAAGAGCCATGATGAATGTAGATAGTTTAGACACAATGAATTAGGTGGTGTGTTAAATGTAATTCATTGTTTTAATTTGATTTGATATGATTAGATTTGATTTGAATATTTTGGGCCTTTTATGTTTTGGACTTTTGTAAACCTAAAACTATAAATAGGGTGTCTTGCATTGTATTCAAACACAACATAGAACAGATTTCACAGTTGCAGTGTTTAGCAAGTGAAAGTTCTATAAGCAATAAGAAATCTCACAGTTGCGGGTAACACATTCTCTCCAAATATTTCTTCTCTCATTCTTCTCTTTCTTGTGTGTTCTTATTTTCTTTTGTTGTTCTTGATAAGTACTTGTTATTACCATTACTATCATATTGTGGATTTGTTCATCAATCTTGAGATCAAGATTAAAAGAAATTCTTCATAGGGTGTGAGGTGAATTTCCAACAAAAAGGACCTCAAAAAATATATTTAACTGAATATACAGTTAAGTATGGCCCCACCCATACAAATATTTCATAGCTAATTGAAAGTTAACTTTAATTTTTTACACAAAAACTCTCACAAATTTGAAACGACTCAGATCATCTTTTTCTGTTAGAAACTACATATTTCTCCTCATATTTAAATTTGTTGCCATCATATTTGCTTCTTAAATTATCTTTAGAATTTGTTACACGTATTGTATTTTAACTATTATCTCCCTCAACCAAATTTAATTCAATTGTCGATGATAGTCGAAAGGCCTTCATCGCCCAAAACATTCATACACTTTATATTCCACTTTCAACTACTTCACAGAATTTAACGTGGTCAACAACCGATTTGTTTAGGTTCAACTATACACATACTCTAGCGTATTTTCCGCAGAAAACCTCAAGAGTAAAGCTCAAGAGTTCTAACTCCAAGAAGACATGAGTGCACTCTCATCATCATATTTCATTCCTAAGCTAGGGATAAAATTTCAAGTCATCACACTATTGATGCATTTTTCTGAGTCAAAATCTAGAATCTGACTACTCTATATTAGAAATGATCAAATATCAGTCTATCTTCTGTACACATACTCTCTCTATTTCAAAATTACTATCATTTAAGATTTTTAAAACAAATTTTACTTGCTAAATGACCATCATTCTAAAACGAAGAAAATATTAAATTTTACCATGCAAAAGTTATGCAATATATCCACATATTGCATGCCATATGTCTACCAAATTCATATCTCCCACAAGTTTTCACCATGGCTCACCATCATTGCGAAAAAATTGAGTAATCAATTTCATAATTCTATCATTTATCACACAATCAAGTTCTATATGGTTCACCATCCTCAATTCAATTACCAAAAAAACTAGTTTCTTAATTCATCTATCATTTATCACAAGTTTGATATGGTTCACCGCAAAAAAATTGTGGGTAATAAGAAAAGTGCTTAACCTGAGAAGTTTGTCACCGCCTCCATCATCAATTGGTTTTGGTAGTTAGTGTCCAACCATATTTGTTTTTTAAAGAAAAGAAAAAAATATAAATTTTGAATAACAGCTAGGCAATGCTATTTCCTTCTATTTTTCTTTCTAAATTATTAATATAAGCTTTGCATTTGTTTAAGTTTTAATAATCAGCAATAATGTTGTTTGTTTAATGTAATATTTAGGTTTATTTTGAAGATGACAAGAGCGCCTTTTGCTAAAGAGAAAAAGACAACCAAACATGCAACCATTTGATAAAGAGAGAAAGACAACCAAACATGCAACCATTGATCGGTTGATCAACGTGTCTTCCACAAAAACCAAAGTTTGATTAAATTAACAAAATCGGATTTTTTAGGCAAGAGAACAGAAGTCATCATCTTTTCAATATTTATATGAAAATGCTAGGCTTACACCAAATTTAGCTGTGTTACACGGTACCTTGAAGCATAAAGCATTACTTTTAGAGCGACTCAAATTCCAAATGCAAATAACAATAATAAAATAAGGATAAGAAATGGATTGTAGCGTATTTATATACGTGTGGTTGTTAAAGTGGGTGTTATTTTAGCATTTCTGATATTTATATCATACACCTAAAATAACACTATTCTTACACCCACTTTTACATTAAATATTTACACCAAACATTATTCAGTATTTGTATTTTTTTAATAAATAAAAATAATATTTATAATAGATAAACAGTGCATAAATAGTGCACGATAAATTAAAATTGATTAATGAAATATAAAAAGTTGATTAATAAAATTATGAAATTGATTAATACGCGTTCAAATATTAAGTATAATTTTTAACAGCCAATAAAATTGGTTAATACAATGTATAAGATTGGTTAATAAAGTTATAAAGTTGGTTAATCATACAATTTTATGTCAATATTATTTAATTTAAAAATTAAAAATATAAAAATAAAATATTAAAATAATATTTCATACGTATAATTTTGATATAGAAATAGAATTTTTGCTAAAATAATTCAGAGTATATAAGTGTTTTTTTATATAGTGTTAAAGTGGGTTCATTTTAGCATTTCTTATATTTATATCATACACCTAAACTAATTCAGAATACATAAGTGTTTCTTCTTTTTTAATATAGAGGATGCCAATATTTTTTTTCTTCTTTTAGGTTAAAGAATCTTATATCATACAGTAAATTTTTTTTTCTTTTTAGGTTAAAGAATCTTATTTCATACGATATATGAACATGAATTTATAAATGAGAATAATTTTTATCTTACAAACTGATTTTGTATGGCTGAATTAGACCCAACCAACCTTCTTAAAAAGGTATCAGAGTATGGATTAAGATCTATTGAGCCACCCCTTATTTAGTTCCACGCCCCCGACATAAATCTTAGACATGAAAGGATGTGTCTCCCATCGGACAAAATATAACCCAAACATGTACTTATAAATGAGAGATAATTCTCACCTTATAAACCGATTTAGTATGATTAAATTAGACTCAACCTCACATTAGCCTGATTGTTTGACCTACGTGCATATATCACTGGAACTTGTTTGGCTAACAAATTAACAAAATAAGATATAAACTGTACCTTCAGTCCCGGTTACAAAATATAACAAACTTGAGACGAGAGAAGGACTAAGAAGTTATTAGCATTAATATCTAACAAAATGGAGAGTAGAACCAGCTCCAAACTCCTCTATCCTTTTCCAAAATGCAGAAACACTGTCTGGAATGTTTGATCAGAGCTCTGCTCGTTCTTTTAGTAGGGTCTCTAGTAGGAAAATAGAATCATTAAAATGTTGTCATACCATAGAATTTATGCGCCGGTCCTGTGTGTCGTTAGGCCAAAGGTCACATCGGAAGCTAGCCCAGGTTGGCCTCCAGCTCATTTGAAGCCAAAATAAAGCTCCCGCTGAACATTGGTAGTAACAGCCAACTCAACAACATTTATGGAGATACAGGTCATTAGCCGTCACCTCAAGTCCTACCAGAAATGGTTACTCTGCTATTACTATGACTCAAGGTCCTATATAAAGTATGCTACACCTCTTCTAAGGGTATGCATACATTCAAACCTCTCACTCACTATTTTCATGCAGACACTGGACTTGAACTTTGAGCACCTGCAATACACCACCATTACTAGCCAATACTGCTGCCATGTGTATAATAATTAACCATCACTATCTTCCTCTCAAGCAATACTGGCTTCACACATAAACAAGATTCTAACTCTAGCTTCATAGAGCAGTGACCATTACAAAATTAGACGCATAATAGGAAAAACACAATCCAAGCAGGTCTAATGACTCCAAACTTAATCCAATGGTGCCAATTGAATGTCTGCTCGAGTGTAAATCTTTGGACCTTATTTTCATATACCTCCTCTCTTCAGGGATAGATCGATTTGTTGTCTCTTAATGCTACTCATATAATAAATTACAAACAAAAAATTACCATCTAATTGACGTGCTTCCACTGTTATGACCAGTTGTAATTCATTAAAAATAAAACTCAGGAGACTATAAGATGCTAGCCCTATGTGTTATGATCCAAATTGAAGAAAAGTCATGTCATCAAAATGAGTCATTAAAATGGTTAGAGAAAAGAGACACTTGTCACTTAATCCAACAACTAAGGGAATAAAGTTAACAACCATTCTATAAAAGGGAGCATTGATTTGCAACAAGGGCATAGAAGAAAATTTATGAAGTCATTCCCCTCTCTCTCTGGTACTCTCATTGAGAGTAATAGCTTAAGTCTTATGCTTGGCTTTCTTCTATCTTACTAGTATTTCTATTTCCTAAATGAATTCACTCCCTTTTTAAATTCAGAATTTGATTGTAATCCCTTTCTCTTGAATCAATACTACATATTCATCAATTTGCTATCATATTATTTCTTTCTGGATTGTTCATAAAATCACAACCCTTACACTATGTCCCTTTCTAATTACTAAACAATATTCCATTTCTTATGAAATCAACAAGATCATTCTTCTCAAGGAAAAAAAATGGAATCCAAAGATCAATGACACTAAATCTGTAGGCATATGATGAATGGAAGTCCATCAATCAAAAGATAAAATGAATCAATGTTGTTAAATATCCGCTATAGCATTGCAGTTTGGACAAACCGCTATTGTTCAGCCTGCAATATGCTATTTAATTCGCTATTAAAACGTTATCAAATAGAAGAATTTGAGTATGATATCTGCAATTGACAACATTAAAATGAGCACAACCGAGTGGTGATAAACAGAAAATTCCATATATAAATAATGTGATCACATTAAGCCAAATGCTATTTACAAGTATCTCGGCATCTCAGAGCCAAGAAACCAACTAGTCTAAAGCTTGAAATATTAATACAGTGATTGAGCAAGCTTTGATGAAGTTACACTAATAACAATTAAAAAAGGAAGTACAAAAAAAAAATAGATAGAAAGCATGGAATATATTACAATGATTCGACAAATATCAGCAGAAGAGAACATACTCAAACAGCGGAAGCTCCACCACGACCCGAACCCGAAGCTCTCTCTTCTTCATACTCTTTATCATCTGTTGGAAGCTCAAACCTGCAAACAGGACACGAATTTCTACTACTCAACCATGGAATAATGCAATCTCCATGATACTCATGCCCACACGGCAATCTCTTTGCCATATCTCCAACACCAAGCATATCCTTACATACAGCACAAGCAACCACTTCACTCTCGGACGCAATCTTAACCGTCATTAAACCTTCCACAGCAGACTTAGAAGCTGGCGGAGCTCCTCGCCTCCCACTTCCGTCACTCTCCGCTAGCGTCTGCAGCAACGCTTCATAATCCGCAGCATCAACGTAATCCTCTGGATTTCCGACATATCGCTCCGATTCCAGTCCCTGAAGACGAAATTCAATAGAATTGTCTTCCAATCCCATTAAAATCTCGGCCCAATCCAAGATCCGATTCTGCATGCTTCGGGTTCGCGTTGCCAAATCCCTAATCCGATGCCTTAACAGATCGCGTCTCCTTCGTCTCATATCTTCATCATCCATATTCGGATCATCGTTGCCTGGTCGATCTTCCACCTCCTCGACGCTACCTTCGTCATCTTCTCCGTCGGTGTGAAACGCATCATCATCTTCATCGTCGTTGTGGTTCCAACCACCGAGTTCGATTCTAAGAAAATCGTCCTCCGGAGAACGACTTGGAGGAGGCGGAGGAGACGCGTCGTCTTCACGCGACGACTCAGCGATTAGGCGAAGAACCTGAAGAAACTGTGAACCAAAGTAAGGATCATCGGAGGAGGAAGAAGGGGAGCGAGCTCGAGAAGGTGTGGAGATGGATTCGACGAAACCGTTTTTGCAGTCGCCGCAGATGACGTCAGGAACATTAGCGACCGTTTCAACGGAGACGTGTTTGTCACAGTGGTAGCACCAGTAAGGAGTTGCCTCGGAGGCGGGAAGTGGCGGATGAGACGGTGCTTCAGACATGGCGCGGCGGAGAGAGTGGTGGTTGATTCGTAGCTTCGATCGGTTTATTTTTGTGAGATAGAACAACAATACTAGCAATGATAGTGGTTATTGAAATAATATTATCGAATTTTTTTAGGTGAATTAAATAATATTATTGAATTAGTAATTTGATAAGGATCTTTCTCATTTTTTATTTGATTATTATTTTAGTGGGTCTTATTTAACGGTTCATTTTCAAAGATAAATCAATCAATAAATAATTAGAAAACTAATGTCTCTATATGATAGATTTGTGACAATTGCTGTTTACTAGCTTGGAAAATCAATTTTTTCTAATCCCTCTCCTCTTTGATTGATTTTTCCTACCATATTATGTGCTTTTGCTTTCTTGCAAGCTACATCTTAAACAATTGTCATATATTACAATTATTTAACAATTTTTGGAAAATTATATTTTAACTGTAAAAAAAGAGATTCCTCAATAACTTGATTCTATCGGATTAGCATGATTAAATTGAACTAGAAATATTTGATTAAACTGCAAGAGATTTCAAGCATCTCATCAAATACACAAATTTATGGTAACAATTGTACAAAAGAAAATCACAATATTGTGCTTACAAAATTTACAGGGGATGAGATTAACAATCAGTGCAGTGATATACATGCTGCACATGAAAACTAACATTACCAAATTCTCCTCAAAGAAGAACAGCGGGCTCGCTGATGCTACCGTTAAAATTAATCTTACAGCTATCAGGAAAATGGAAACCAGCCGCATCAAGGCCAGCCTTTGTAATATGTGGGCATGATCTCACATCCAAGTATTCCAGGTGACTGCATTTACTGGCAAGAATGCCTATACCAACCACTGTGATCTTTGGACAATTACTAACTTTCAAAATCTTCAAACTCAAACCAGGCTCCTCGCTGCTTATATGATGAAAAGCAGTATCTGTTACCTCTTCACAGCAACCAATGTCCAGTGCCTCAAGGTTTCTGCATTGACTTAGAATACAGCTCAATGAAGAGTCGGAAATGTTGAGACACCAATCCATCCTCAAGTTCCTAAGGTTGTTTCTACGAGCAGTAGCCAGAAACTTTATTGCATCGTTGGAGACATCCCGGCAACCACCAATGATCAAAGTCTCCAGATTATCACAGATATTGGCCAATGATAATATAGTTTCATCCCCGATTCTGTAGCAATCTAACAATTTCAAAGTCTTGAGAGAAGAAGAACTAGCCTTACAAATACTAGTAACTCCAACATCACTGACATTACTGCATCTATTAATGTCTAAAAATTTGATCCTCTGGCAACCACTTGCAAGGTTTATCAGTCCATTGTCAGTGATACTTGTGCATCCTTGCAATCCCAACTCTTCTAAATTATGACAGTTTTTGGACAGTGCTTCTAGTATACTATCCGTAACAAATCGGCAGCCAGTAAGATGCAATATCCGCAAGTCACAACAGCCTTTGGCAACAGCAGACAGCCCCTTGTCAGTCAGCTTTCTGCAGTAGGACACATCCAATGATTGTAATAAGGAAAGACCATCACCAATAGCTTTCATTCCAACATCTGTAATCCCTGTATATTAATATTAACACAATAAAATGAGCTGTTAATCCCAGTTTGAAATTGAACTATTTGAATTGAATAGTTAAAGAAATGGTAAGGCTTTGTTTGGGAGTTTGGAAAGGAAGGGAGGGGATGGTTTTGAGAGGAGATGATTAGAGAGAAAAATAGATAAATTATTAACTATTTTTAAAAGAGAGCTTTTGTTTAGAATTAAATTAATACTTCTTATAAATATATTTTTAGTATTTGAATTATTAATGCAGGTTAGAGTTGAAGAGATCATCTAACCCCTCTAAAACCCTCCACCAATATAATTTTTTAGTTCCCAAAAATTAGAGGGATTTTGTGTTATGAAGAAAAAATAAGCCCTTCAAAACCCTCCACCTCATATGCTTCAACTTTTTCCACTATCCTTCCTTTCTATTTTCATAGTCCTCCTCTCCCTACCCCTCCAAACTCTCAAACAAAATCTTAGAGAAACCCTTAAATGGCAGCAGGAAGTCCTCAATCATCACTCGTATGTTATGGGTTGCACATACGTAAGTCTAAAAGGGAGAGTCTAACCCAAAATACTAGTCCATTAAGTAGGAGAATCCCCTGGCTGATAAGCTCCATTTTTTAGGTTAAACTCTTCATTGTGGATTTATAATAATACACCACAACTTGCGAATCAATGTCATACAACTTTCAATCTACAACACTTCACTAAGAGACATTTCACTCAATTTTTTCATTGATATTAAGAACCATCCACTGTTCATAACCCATCGTGGATAGCCTCTTTCGAGAAGTTAGACTATCAATGAAAGCATCAACATTATGACCCTAAACCTAAAGGAATAATTCATCCCAAAATACTAGCCCATTAGTGGGAAAATCCCTTGGCTAACAGGTTCACTTCTTAGGTAGACTCCCCCAATGTGGACTCATAACAAATAGACCCAATGAAAAAACTTACCTGAAGAAACTAGTGAAATACAAAACCCAATCCGAAACAATAAAACAATAAGATTACTCAGTTATCAAATCAACAAACAAGAACAATAATAGAGAATACTGAAACCCCTAAAATGCACAATTACTCAGAGTCAGAGTTCAGAAAAGTGAAAAAAATTGAAAAATGAAAACAGTTGATATACCTTTACAGTTATGCAAATTGAGGATCTTCAGGCATCTGAAACCATTAGCGATAACAGCAAGATCCGAATCAGTAACCCCAGGATAAAACGAACGAGAAACAGACTGAGCAAGGTCCAATTCTACCAAGCGCGTGAACCTATCAGCCATTTTCCGGAGCAAATGAGGACCGGCACGTGCGGCCAGCTTCTTCCTCTCGGTGCTCTGCAACCGAAGCCATCGCTTACATACCAAACCGAACGTTTCCTTGTCTTTGTCGTTATCAAATCTCGCCAGAATCGAACGAAGCTCGTCGTCCGTCAACGCTTCGTTTATGCATAACGCTGATACGTCATCTTCCTCTGTTGATTTGGAAGACATTGATGCAGGTAAACCCTAACCCCGCGATTTGGGGCTAATTTTTAGCGATGGGAATTGCTGGAAAACGACGCAGTTTTAGTTCAGAGATGTAATGAATGATTGCGTTTGAGAGAGTGAATTATTGTCTACGGTAAAGCGTAAAGTACCTACCTACCTATCATTAATAGGTGCCACTATTCTTCCTAATTTAACTCTTTTTTTTTTTATAATTTTACTACAATATACCTATTATATTACTAACGTATTAATTTGTCTTTCATCCACTCAAAAATCTTCCCTTCATAACACAATACCCATTCTTTCATCTCCCCCTCTTCTTCTTTTACCCTGCAATCGATTCTACTTTTACATAGAAAACTTCTTCCGAGTTGATATTTCAATTTTCAATTCTTTTTCTACATATTTATGTAGGTTAATCCTTCAATGTTTCTGTTTTTATGGTTAATGTTTCTTCTTAAAATCACATTAATCCTTCAATGTTTTCACATGTTTTTTTTTTCAATTTAAAAATTATTTTGTTATCGTTATTTATTCAATGTTAAAGTCTTATAAATTATTAGCTCGGTTCCTTTATATAAGAGACAACTTATTTTTTAAGTTTATTGAATAACTAATGCATTTGGTCAATTTATAAATTAGACACATTAATTATTCAATGAACCTAAAAATTAAATTATCTCTTATAAAAAGGAACGAAGGTGGTATTTTACAAGAAAAAATGAATAATACGAGGAAGAGAATGTGAGGACGTGTTTGAAGCCATGTCAAATCTTCAAGGTCCTTCCTCCAAAATTGTTTATTTCTATTTTGGACTCTTATGATATTTTCTTCTCTTGATTTAGTTTTAAATGGAAAAATAAAGAAGTTTTGATAATGTATTTCTGTTGTTTTTTCTATTTTGTTTTTTTACTTATTATTTTCTCATTAAATTGTTTATCAAACTGATGACTGAGAGAGACCCATGTGATAATAAGGATGAAAAGAGCAATTGAGAAGTTATTAGAAAGACATGCATATCTGTTGGCAAATATTTCTACATTTTTTGTTTGATAAGTTTATTTGGTGTTTGTGACCTTTTTAGTGTAGTTTTATTTTGTTTATCTTCTCTTTTGGTTGTTTGATATGTTTTATTGATTTAATATTGTTGAGTTTGTAATTCTTTGTGTCGAAGCAGTGTAGCTCAATAGAAATAAGATTTAGTTGAATTAGTCAAACGTGTGCGTCGAGTTGTATTAATATGTCGAAGTGTCAAAGTAGGATGTTTCACACAGAATTTTGACTTAGACTAATTTTAATAAGGTTAACTATTTGAGCTTTTATAGTTTTGGATTTTACTTTGGGTGCAAGCTAACCGAAATATATAAATTGGGAGAAACCCTTATTTTGTATATACACAACTCATAATATTGTATTCACGCTTTGCAATTGCAAGTGAATAAGAAAGTTTCCACGGTTTTTGGTCAAAGAGAAACTCTGCAGAATATTCATCTTCTTCTCCGACGTTATTTTTCTTTCTTTTTCAACATTTTCTTTCATTGTAATTACGTGATTGATAACAATCTTGAGATCAAGATTGAGTGAAATTCTCCATAGGTTGTGGTTGTGGTTGTGGTTAAAATTCTCCATATGTAACCCACTTTTGTAGAATTTGATGCCAAGAAAATATGAGAGATTTCTCAAGTCTGGCATTTCAAACTCCTCACCTAGGTCATGTTTGAAATTTTTGATCTCCTTCTTGCAACTTTTTGTTATTAACAAGTCATCGACATGGAGACGTAGTATAAGCAATTCGCTATTGCATCTTCTTACATATACTCCATGCTCAGTCGTGCACATCACAAACTCAATATTTTGACACAAGGAATTACAAACTCAACATAAGATACAAGTTGTTCGACTCAATGAACAAGCAAGTTGTGATTAGCAGGGACGTGATCATAGATGAGCTTAAGGAATGAGATTGGACAGAGAATGTTAAGAAGGATTCAGTGAGAATCTTATGTGAAAAATTAGCTAGTGAAGTCGAAAGAGAAGTTCGACAAGAAGAAGTCAGAGGTGAAGCAGGCTGAAGCAGACCTCGACGAACAAGACACATGCCTGCAAGATTGCAAGAATCTGTGATTACATCAGATGGTATGGTCGATGAAGAATGTGAGCTACTACATTATGCTTTCTACGCAAATGTTGAATTAGTCAATGCAGCTGAGACATTGAAAGATTCAAAGTGGGTGAAAGCAATGAATTAGAAACTAAAGTCCATTGAAGTTAACAACACTTGGTCACTTGTCGAATTGCCTCAAGGCAAGAAGGAAATTGATGTGAAGTAGGTTTACAAGGTGAAAGAGAATCCTGAAGGATAGGTAACTCAACACAAGGCGAGACTTATGGTGAAAGGATTTCTTTAGAAGGAAGGAATCGGCTTCGACGAAGTTTTTGCACCTCTTGCTAAGATTGAAACAATCAGGTTGGTTGTTGGTCGAACAAACATGAACAATTGGCAGACATGTCAGATGGATGTGAAATGTGTATTCCTGGATAGCCCCTTAGATGAAGAAGTTTGTGTTGCACAACCAACTGGGTTTGTGAAACAAGGTGAAGAAAGAAAGGTGCACAGGCTGCAAAAATCCTTGTATGGACTTAAGCAAGCTCCAAGAACTTGGAATAAGAAGATTAACAGCTTTCTAAGGGAGAAGAAATTTATGAAGTGCACGACTGAGCATGGAGTATATGTAAGGGGAAGCAATAGTAAATTGCTTATACTGTGTTTCTATGTCGTTGACTTGTTGATAATAGGAAGTTGTAAGAAGGAGATTGAATATTTCAAACATTACCTAAGTGAGGAATTTAAAATGTCGGACTTAGGAAATCTCTCATATTTCCTTGGCATCGAATTCTACAAAAGTGCTAGATGTTTGATGATGCATCAAAGAAGATATGGAGACGAAATGCTCAAGAGATTTGAGATGCAATAGTGCAACCTAACTTCAACTCCAGTTGAGACCAAATTGCAACTGTCGAAAGATTTAGATGAAAATGATGTCGACCCAGCCCAATATAGAAGACTTATTGGTTCATTTTGGTACCTTTGTTACACAAGGTCGGACTTAGAATACAGTGTGGGCATGGTAAGTAGATTCATGCAGAGGCCAAAGGTATCACACCTAGCAGCGACGAAGAGGATACTAAGGTATCTGAAAGGAACTCTCGACTATGGTATTTTCTTTCCTGCAGCTGATGAAGGAAAAGAATGCAAGCTAGTGGGATTCACTGACTCGAGTTGGTTTAGCGATGTTGGGGATCGAAAATCCGTAGTTGGATATGTGTTTATGTTAGGTTGTGCACCACTGTAGGGCTGGAAATGAGTCGAGTCGAGTCGAACTCACCTCAGCTTGGCTCGACTCGTTAAGAATTGTTCGAATTCGAGTTCGAGTTCGAGTTCGATACGAACTTTTTTTTAAGCTCAAACTCGACTCGTTATAAGTTCACGAACAGTTCGGTTCAGCTCGTTAGGTTCATCTCATTAGGTTCAGCTCACATGGTTCACGAACTTAAAAACTATTTTTTAAAATATATATATTTTTTAGTATATTTGATATTTTAAATAAATATATATTTTTTAAATAAAATATTAAAATAAAATAAAAGTTATCATATTGAAATTTAACTTTATCTTTGAAATCTACTAATTCAAAACCTACACAACTTTCAAGAGATACATTTGAGAGTCTAATTCAAAAACTACTAAATTGAAGATTAAACTTGTCTAAGATTTGAAGTAAATATTTAAACTTAATCTTAAAGATAGTATAATTCTTTTCATATGTAATCGAGTTGACTCATGAACCTAACGAGTCGAACTATGTATAGTTCAAGTTCAGCTCATTTAGTTAACGAACTTAATTTTTCGCTCATACTCAACTCATTTGGTTCATGAACCTAGTTCAACGATTTAATTATCGAGTCGAATTCCGAACTATCTTCGAGTTGGTTTGGTTCATTGCCAGCCCTATGCACCAGTTACTTGGAGTTCGAGAAAGGAACCAGTAATGGCCATGTTATCATGTGAAGCAGAATACATAGATGTTTCTCTTTGTGCATGTCAAGCAACATGGATGGTGAACCTGGTCGAAGAGATTATAACGAAGAGTCACAGAGCAATTACCATGAAGATCAACAGCATGTCAACTATCAATCTGGCGAAGAATCTGATAGCACATGGTTGAAGCAAGCACATTGAGATGAGGTTCCATTATCTTTGAGAGCATGTAGCAGAAGAGAAGGTGAACTTGGAACACTGTAGAATTGAGAATTAGATTGTAGACATCATGATAAAGGGAATGCAAGTCGAAGTGTTCATGAAGCAAATATCTATGATGAATGTAGTTAACTTAGACACAATGAATTAGGTGGTGTGTTGAGTTTGTAATTCCTTGTGTCAAAGCAGTGTAGCTCGATATAAATAAGGTCTAGTTGAATTAGCTTAATGTATGTGTCAAGTTGTATTAGTGTGTCGAAGTGTCTAAGTAGGTTGTTTCACACAAGATTTCGACTTAGGCTTTTTTTAGTAAGGTTATTTATTGTAGGCTTTTATAGGTTTGTGATTTGGCTTAGGGTGCAAATTAACCTAAATATATAAATAGGGAGAAACCCTTATTTTATATATACGCAACTCATTATTTTGTATTCACAGTTTGCAGTTGCAAGTGATTAAGAAAGTTTCCACAGTTTGTGGGTAGAGAGAAACTCTACAGAATATTTATCTTCTTCTCCAACGTTATTTTTCTTTCTTTCTCAATCTTTTATTTCATTGTCATTGTGTGATTTATAATAGTATTGAGATCAAGATTGAGTAAAATTCTCCATAGGTTGTGGTTGAATTCCAAAAAATACTACAATAGGTTTTCAAAAGAAACTTTGAACAATAATTATTATTAGATGATAGACTCTGGTCTAGAAGGGATGAATATATCATAAGTTAAAAAAATTTGGTAAAAATAAAT